CCCCTGTAATCAATAAAGTTCTCCTTTGTGACCGGTGTGGGAGATTTATTGAGGGGTGGGTCTAAATTATGCCAAGGAGACCCCTTAGGTCTGCGGACTAAGGGAGGCTTCCCTAATCAGCCCCTGACTTGGGAAGTGTCCCAAGTGCTTATATTGGGTCTAGTACCCACTGGACTATCAGGTCTGTGTTCTCCAAGGTGCGCAGAGCCAGAATTGAGTCCAGAGCCTTGGATGGTGGCAGCGGGAACCCCAGGCTAGTGGGTGTGCTCCAGGGAAGGGGTCGGCCGGACGTGAGGCACCCCAAGGGAGGCACTCGGAGCCTGGAAGGTGGGCGGGCGCAGGGAGGTGGGCGGCTCAACGCAGGAGCGCCCCCTACTGGCCCGCCACAGGCAACAGGGTGGGGAGCCCTGAGCTCGCAGTGGACAGTCCACATCTGCCCCCTCCACACTACAAGCTCTGCTTGGCTCTGCTCCAGCCATACTGCAGGGGTGGCATCATCCTAGGCCCCCTCCCCCAGCAAAATAAAACTTGGTGCCTATGGACACTGCTATTTTTGCAGCTGCAAGCACACAACCCTGCCTGTGGGGACATGCCAAAAACATTATAGAAGAGCTAGAAGGTACATAAAAGGGCAACAAAAATTATTAATGGTATGAAGGCGCTTCCATATGAGGAGAGACTAAAGAAGCAAGGCCTATTCAGTTTAGGCAAGAGATGCCTGAAGATAACAGTTTATAAAATGCTAAATGGTGAGGAGAAAGTAAATAGGGATTTTTTATTTACTAAGTTTCACAATACAAGAACTAGAGGTCATAAAATGAAACTAGTAAGTTTAAACTAGTAGGCACAATTATACTACCTAGAAATAGTAGGTAGTAATTTAAGTGTGGAACTCATTGCCACAAGATGTTGCGGAAGCTGACAGTTCAACCAGATTCAAAAAGGGACTGGACAAATTCTTAGAGGAAAGGTAAATTAGTAGTTACTGACCATGGGATACAGCCTTCAAATCAAAACTTCCTAGACTCTTAATGCTGGAGGCTGCAAATGGGAGAGGAACAGATGAAATACCCTGGTCATACTCTGTTCACTCCTCCTTTTATCATCCACTCTCTGCTACCAGGTAACTAACAGGATATTGGGCAAGATGAACATATGATTTCCCCTAGTAAATGGCCGTTCTTATGCTCATACGATAAAGGAGACAAAGTTCTGCTGAAACTTAGGTTATCATGCTGGAGGGAGCTTACTAATGGCATTCCTCTAGGATCTCCCTTGGAACTGACCTTATTTACTATTTTCATTAATGACCATGACACAGAATTAGAAGTGTGCTAAAAAAATGGACTGACAACACAAAATTTGTTCTAAGAAAGATGTGAATGACAATAAGGACTGCAACAGAAGTGAGATTAAATATTGTATAATCTGCAAAGTAATATTTAGAGGGATTAAAAAAATAATTTCAGTATTTAGCAGGTAGCTTATCATTTGGAAAAGACAGAGGAATAAGACCTTGTATAGCAAGCAGTTGATCACAGGATGAGCCACCAACATGATGTGGCCATGAAAAAGCCGAATGAGATCCTAGGAAAAATATTTCCAGCAGATTATACACCAGTGAGGCTTCACCTTTGTGAAGATCTGCTTAACATATGGTCAAGAAAATATTAATTCAAACTGGAACAGGTGAAAGAAAGAGCTCCAAAGAGGATCAGCAGCAATAGAGAACCTATGTTCAGAGATGAGACTAAAAGACTGGGTTGTTTAGCTTAGCAAAAAGGTAGAAAGGGGAAAGGATTCTTTTTCTTTAAAAACACACCAGAAAATTCCAGGAAAAGCTATTTAAACTAAAGGATGTACACAAAAAAATCAGTATAAATTGATCATGGGTTGGACATTGGAACAAAAAAGTTTATTTAGAGCAGTGAGGGTTCTAACAGCTTTCCAATGAAAGCTGGAGAAATAAAAAAAAAAAGTGTTGCTTTTAAGATGAAACTTGACCAATTTATGAAAGAGCATATGACATGGTGGCTTGCAATAGCAAAGGACTACATTTCCTTAACCAAGAGGTGTCTTCCTTTCCTATGTCCTTAATACAAAATTAATCCATTAATTGTAATGGACTGGGCTGGTGTCAAAGTTGAGTTTTCTTCATTTATTATGAATCCAACAGCATGGAACTGATGCACATGAGCACAGACAAATCATGGGGCCTGATGGAAGGATCTTCATGTGGGCCAGTTATGATTATACTAGCCAATTGCCCATCAAGAATGATGGGGGGGCTGGGAGCAGGCAGGGATAGAGCCCCAGGCCCGCGCCGCCATCTGGGCCAGCTCCCAGCTTCCCTTCTGCTGCTTGGGGTCCAGGTCCGTTCCCTCACTCCCCGCCGCAGCGGTGTGGGGAGGGGAGGTGCGGACCCTGGCCTGATGCAGGGAAGGACCGGGGCCAAGGCTGGGGAGAAGCCGGGCCACCACAGCGGGGGGAGCAGCAGGGCCGGGCCAACCTGGTGGTGGCAGGCCAATGCGGTGTGGTGGGGAGGAGTGGACGCAGGCCCAATGTGGGGGAGGAGGCCCACTCCTCCCCTCCTCCAACTGCTGCTGCATTGGGCTAAGCCCACTGCTCCACCCTCCACTGCAACGGGCTGGCTTCTCCCCCGCTCAAGCCCAGTCCCACTCCTCCCCTATCCCCGCTCTCTCCCTCACATCCGCTCCAAGCCCACTCCTTCCATCCTCCCACTGCTGCCAGGTCGACCCAGGCCTGCCGCTCCCCCTGCTGCAGTGGCTCAGCTTCTCCTCCCCCGCATCAGACCTGGGCCTACTCCTCCCTTCCCCCCACCACTGCTGCCATGACACGCCCGCTATTCCCCCCATCACCATCACATCATCCCAAGGACTGAGGTGAGACTGACTGGCCTATAATTGCCAGGGTCCTCCTCTTCCTTTTCTTGTAAATGGGGACCACATTGGCCCTTTTCCAATCCTCTGGTACTTGGCCAGAGCCCCACGAGCACTCATACAGCCATGCCAGGGTCCCCGCTATGACCCCCGCCAATTCCATCAGCACCCCTGGGTGAAGAGCATCTGGACTTGCAATCTATTGTGACAAATGCCTAAGCACAACCCAATCTACTAAAGTGACCTCTAACTTTGGGGGTCGAAGTTTTGGGAATCTCATGTAGATCTACCTCTGCCAAAATTAGCATATGTGGCTGTGCCAAAACAGGCAACTAAAATTTGTGCATATATAACAATGTACAAAATACCTTGATTTTCAGAAATGATGACTCCTCAAAATCCCAAAGGTTGCAACCATGACATCCAAAATTAGAGACAGACTTTGAAAATTTGCAAAACTGAAGACAGACAGACAGACAGTATAGGCATTCAGTCATTTTCTGTGACACATTAGAAACTGTGAAATAAAGCCTACAAGATAAGTTATTTTGTTGAAATGTATATAATAGATATCAGTGCACTGAGCTTAAAGTATTAGGATTTTAATTGTGGTCCCTAACTTAACATATACAGTGCAGTTTCAACTTACAGAAAGTCTCAACATTTGGTTCAAGAGAACCAGGGTGCAGAAGACTTGATATCCCATTCTCTTACTCCTTCCAAGCTGGTACTTCATTCTTCTTTCCTTACTTGCTGTTATAACTTCTTATGTATTCACTAGTAGGAAATAAAAACAAAATTATTATCTGGAAGCAAGAGTTTGTCACTTGTGGACTATCTTATAGTTTCCACTGAATTATTCTTTCTGGTTCATAACTAAAATCTGACGGAAATAATAATGCAAGTACAAATTTCTGAAGACATGGTAGATGAACATATCACAAGACAAGAGAAGACTGAGGCCAAAATGACAAAAATATCTGAACAGTGAACTGAATATCTTTGACATATTTGCTTAGGATAACCAAAAGAAAAGCACCTATTATAATCTGCAAATAATTAGGAGCTCTCCCTCAAAGCTTTCTCAAGCTACACCTTTTTAATATATTGACCCTGAAGAGGAGCAGAAAACCACTGACATCATAATGCATTGGGAGCTATACAAAGAGTCAGGAGATTTTGTTCTATCCAAATTCTGTGACTTGTGAAACCTCCTGACATTGTCTTTCCACTCTTTTGTCATAAATCATGACCTTATCTTTGAAATTTATGGAGGAAGAGTCATGTAAGCATTGAATATTATCATTATTATTTACATATTATGGGAAGTGTCATACTTGTGCCTCTCCTCTGGCTGCTTGATGCAGAAAACATGAACAAAAATACTAAAGTAGTTCTGTTTTGGTGCTATTTGGTTGTCAGTAAAATAGAAAATGGAGATAGATACATTAGTCACTGAAGATGATTGTCAGGTAGAGTCAAGTCAGTTCTGAGGCCTCTGTGACTGCTGGGGCACCTTAGAAGCTGTAACAACCCTAGGTTAGTTGAGTTACTTTGCATCATTAGTGATTCTTCGGGCAGAGTGACCTGGTGGCACCCATCTCCTCTCCAGGTATGGATGGCCGTTGGCTCGCAGGAAGCTCATCCACCCTTTGACAGACCTTGGTTTAATCCCGCTAAGTGTCTACACACCCTTCTTACCCAAGCTAGCCCAGGTGGGGGTAATGATTTAGTCACTGACAACCCAACCATTGAACAGGCTGTACTGGTTTACATGGTACCAGATAGCAGACCAAGAGAATCCTGGCCTGACAGGGAAGATGATTATGCCTAGCTTTTTTTAACTTAGCATTTTTCATCCTTACATTTCAAAGCAATCAAAGATCAGTATCACTGCTTCCTATCCTTAAATAAGAAAACAAAACATAAGCAGGCAAGTGATTGGTTCAAGGTCACCCAAGAAAACAATGGCAGAGCTGGATTTGGAACTTGCAGCTCCCAAATCACAGTCCACTGCCCTCTTCACTATGCCACACACTAATCACCTGCATATAGAAAGAAAGGTATATAATTAATTGAAAAACTTCTCTCATATATACGTGGGAACAAAACTTTACCCTCAATAATAGCATTTACCACTTTATAACATGTTTGAAGCCTAATTGAGTAATGATGATTTTGGCAATGTTATCTCATTCTTTATTTCCTATATAACACATATATTAAAACTAGCAGGGTTCATGTTGTTATACCTTTTCCCTTTGCTGTTTTTAATTAGACCTTATGCTTTGTTGGGCAAAGTGATTCTGCTGAAAGATTCTCAAGTTATTGTGGCACTATGCTGCATCACAGTGCAAAATCTGAGACAGTTTTTTGTTAAAATATGTAGGTTTTCACTAAAAAATATGAACCTGGATAATAAAAATTATACTTAGCTTCCACAGTTTAATTTGAAATCAAATTTAAATGTATAACATTTTCAGTTTCAGAATTTTGTTTTGACAACTTAAGAGCTTCTGCGCAGAAGCTGCTGCAGAAAGTAAGTTCGGGCATATGGTTAAAAACAGTGGAAAAGTTTGCCTTCCTAGGTCCTTAGCTATATCAACAGTACAGCTTGAGCTTACCAAAAAGTTGTACAATACATGTAGTTCAAGAAAACTTACCTGCAGGAGATGAGAGAGAGGTAGTTACCCAAGTTAGTCTGAAGTAAAGGAGAAAGCAGGGTAGGGTGGCACTTCAGAGAGTAACTTGTTTAGAGAGGTGTGTTTTCGTAGGCAACATCCTACCTCATTAGATGCTAAGGGAAAGGAAGAGAGATTGGAACTGTGGAAGAAGCATGAGGACTAGATGCTTCTGCTAAAATGTTTAGCAGTAAATTAATTTAAAATGTTGACACACTAGCCCTAAATTGAAGCCATGGGTTTTAAAAAATACTGCTTCAACTTAGGGCTGATTAAACCCCTGTGCCGTGCACACACCCTGCTGACTTACCTATTTCTCCAGTGGGGAAGGGAGGGCAACTTGCCAGCGGGAGAAGCAGTCCCTGGGCTGTGGGGGGGACTTCGCTTCCCTCCGTAGCAGTGGTCCCCTCCCCCACAGGCAGCATCCGCCCACAGGCACCCAGCTCGGGTGGTCCTGGGGCGCACTGCAGTCACGGAGGGAAGCACCGGGCCCCTGCACAGCTCAGGCAGGCAGGCAGGCTCCAGGTGGGAGGAAGATCAGGCTCGCTGCTTTTCTTGGGCGTAGCCTGCTTTCCCAGGTTGCTGCCAGGCTGCCTGCAGGGCTTCCTACAGAGCCACAAAGCTGCACAGAGCCCAGTGCTTCACTCTGTAGCTGTAGGGGCAGCAAATTAAAACTCCTCGAAGGAGTTTTAGTTTGCTGCACCCCAAGTCATTTAAGGAGCATTACACTGCCGAATTTCCTACAGCGGCTGGAATTAATGCATAATACACTGCCGAGGCATGCAAACACTGACATCATTAAAGTGGTGCAAAAGCATTTAGCCCACTTTAAGCACATATAAGCACACACACCTCTCATTTCGTCTATACACAGCCATTGTCAGCTATGAAGTAGGAGATATAGAGAGCACTCAGAACAAGAGGCAAAAGACAGAGGCATCTTTGTCCAAAAGGATGAGGTACTGGAAGTGAAAACCTGATTACCTTCAAGACAGAGCTTGCTCAGTTTATGAAAAGGAGTTATGCAATTCAGTTGTCTGCAATTGCAGGGGACTGGATTCAGTGATGCAGGAGGTCCCTTCTAATGTAAACTACTCACACACAAAACATGGAATGAACAAATGTGCTCCAGAAGAATATTTTATCATTTTAATAGCTAAAATGGAGTCATCTTCTAATAACAGCAAGTAACAATATGCACTGCACTGACAAACAAAGGATGAGGCAAAAGATGAAGTTAAGACATGTACGAGTGGTCTAAACCATTCACCCTACTGTGACCTATTGCTAAATCAGACCAGAGGCAACAATTTGCAGCAAGGATGTAACAAGAACTTGTATTAGTCGCTTTTCTGTGCAGACAGGTTAGGACAGTAGTACTGGGAATCAGTTCATTCTTACCTGCTGACTAATTCTCCTTTTGATAAAAATGAGTGTACTATGACTAACATGATGCTGAGTTAAGATCAAAGGTTACGTTATTTTGGGGAAAATATCCTAATGCTCTAGTTCCCAGATGCCAGTGATGAGTAAAGGACATCTGGGCAAGTAAAGGTTCTGGTTTCCTGCCTACTGGACAGAAGAATGACATCAGGCACAACAGCACTGTTATTTCTGCCACCTAGGACAGAAGGGAGGAAGATGGACATAAGAGCTCAGTGAAAATGGTGCAGGTACCTGAGCTGTCTGAAGGGCAGAGGGAGTGTCAGCTCAGTTCTTTTCTGCTTGTCAGAGGGTAAGTCATAGAAGAAATGGGAAGATTGAAGCAAAGCATTATACCTGAGCTGCCAGCAAAAGAGAAGGGTGGATAAGTTTAATTGATGTCACCCTCATAAATAATGTTTTGCAAGAAGAAGAAAGGATAAGTAAGATTTGTTCCTAAACATTTCTAAAGTTAAGCCCCAGTTGAATGCACTGCCTGATGCAGCCCTCATCAGAGGCCTACAGTGATCAGGAAGAGGAAATATTGTGTGTGGGATTTTCAGTTACAGTCAAGAAGATATTTCAGAAGAAATGCAACGTGGGATTTTTACCACCACAGGTGCTCAGAACCTCAGTTTGTCTGGTCTATAAGACCGAAGCAAAACTTCCTCCACCTCCTCCCTTAACCAATGGTATGCAAGATGTGACAAAGAAAAGTTTCACAACTGTTCAGTCATCAGGAGTACATGCTGTAGCCACCTGGATTTTATCTTGTGCAATTCTGCTGACCTAGTCAATTTTGATGAGATTACTGACCAAGGTTTTGTGGCTATATGCCAAAAAAAAAAAAAAAAAAAAAAGACTATTTTCCCTCTTATTTTCCTATGAATTGAAGATTTGTTGGAAAAACTTGAGTTGGATTAGCCACAACAGAAGTAGACATTTGTCCGTTTTACCAGACAATAGCATTATACCATGATACAGGATGACAAATAATCTTGGGATAACTAGGAGGATGATAGGGGCTAAAAGTAGCTACTGCCAACAACTGAGCATTTGCATTTGTGGCAGCAACTAGAAGTTGCCATTTCTACCTTGCCCAGGTGGCCAACCACATCTCTGTACTGCTGCAAAAAACAAATAATGAAACTAGGTGAGAAAACTTTTCCTCTTTTTTTTTTTAAATGTAAGAAAGTAAGCATTCAGTTGAGATCTAGAAACAACTGCTTTGGCCATACTGGTGGCATGTTGATGGGTGATGTGAGGACCAAATTTACAGTAACAAAACCCTGAAGTATTAAAAAAAGAAAAAGAAAATATATATGTATTTACCATATAATAAAATATCAACTATATGACATATTTCCTTCTATATATGTGGATTTATATTGTGCCATGCTCCCAGTCCCACCATCCCTGATTTGGATTTACAAAGGTTGCCAAGTGGGCTTCCAGTGGCGGTAATCCCCCCAACCCCCAGCGGGCTTAGTTTAAAGCCCACTTGAGCAGGTCAGCCAGTCTGGCTGAGAAGAGCCTCCTCCCCAGTGGAGTGAGGTGGAGGCCATCTCTCCCCAGCAGACCACTGACTCTCTCACCAAAGAGTGGATTGTGATCATGGAAGCCAAAGCCTTCTCGATGACACCAGCACCAGAGTCTTTGCTTGACTACCTCGACCCATCTCTCCCTCCTCAGCCCATGACCCACAACCGAGAGGAGTGATGAAAAGACCACCTGCACTCCTAACCCCCTAAGCCCCGTTCCCAGAGCCCTGTAGTCTCTCATGACCCGGCTGGAATTGCTCCGAGCTGTGTCATTCATGACCACATGGATAAGGAGTGTAGGGTAGTGGTCAGAGGGCTGGATAATCTTCAGGATCCCCTCTGCTATGTCCCGAATGCAGGCCTCCGGGAAACAGCAGATCTCCTGGGCTAGGGAGTTGGAGCAGCAGATTGCCCCCTCAGTCCCCCACTCTTTCATCAGTCCAATGGGACCTCCCTGCCTAGCAAGATGCGGGACGGCCAGGGGGAGGGTGTATTTATACCCAGCATTGGTGTTGATCTAGTAAAAGATCGAGTAAAAGAGGCTGGACACCTTCAAGTCAGCTGCTCCTGACAGATTACACTCTAGAGTACTCAAGGTGCTGGCAGCTGTCATAGCCCAACCATTGGCAAAAATATTCAAAATCTCATGGTGCTCAGGTGAAGTACCTGAGGACTGGAAGAAGGCCAATGTGGTACCCATCTTCAAGAAAGGCTGGAAAGTAGATCCTGGGAATTACAGGCCAATCGGCTTGACCTCAATCCCCGGTAGGATTCTGGAGAAAATTATCAAGGAGACCCTTCTGGATAACCTGGCTGAGGGCAACATCCTGAGGGACAGCCAGCACGGGTTTGTCGCGGGTAGGTCTTGCCTGACCAATCTCATCTCCTTCTATGACCAGGTGACATATCATCTGGACAAGGGAAAAGAAATTTATGTCATATACCTGGATTTTAAGAAAGCCTTTGATCTGGTATCCCATGACCTCCTCATGGAAAAATTGGCCAACTGTGGCCTCGGCTACACCACAATCCGATGGCTGGGGAATTGGCTCCGAGGTCAGACCCAGAGTCCAGTGGTCGATGGTAGTGAATCATTATGGCACTCCATAGCCAGTGGTGTCCCCCAAGGCTCTGTCCTTGGGCCGGTTCTTTTCAACATCTTTATCAATGATGTGGACATTGGTATCAGAAGCGCATTGGCTAAGTTTGCTGATGACACTAAACTTTGGGGCATAGCGTCCACACCTGAGGACAGGCTAGTGATCCAGGCTGACTTGGATAAGCTTACTAAGTGGGCAGATACAAACATGATGAAGTTCAATACCGATAAATGTAAAGTACTCCACCTTGGGGAAAAAAACCCGCAGCATACTTATAGGCTCAGCAGTGCTACATTTGCTAGCACCACTGCTGAAAGAGACTTGGGGGTCATGATTGACCACATGATGAACACGAGCCACCAATGGGACATCACAGCTGGTAAAGCAAACAAAACTCTGGCTTGCATCCATGGATGCTTCTCAAGTAAATCTCAGGATGTCATCCTCCTGCTGTACTCAGCCTTGGTAAGGCCGCAGCTGGAGGACAGCATCCAATTCTGGGCTCCACAATTCAAGAAGGATATCGAGAAGCTTGAGAGAGTCCAGAGGAGAGCCACGTGCAAAATCAGAGGGCAAGAGACTTATGAGGAGAGGCTGAGAGCCATAGGACTCTTCAGCCTGGAAAAGCGCAGGCTCAGGGGGGACCTGGTATACATCAGGACCTGGGAGAATGTATATTCACCAGAGCGCCCCAAGGAAAAACAAGGACCAACAAGGTCAAACTCCTCCAAGACCGTTTTAGACTGGACATAAGAAAAAATGTATTTGCTATTCGAGCCCCCAAGACCTGGAATAAATCCCCTCCAGAAGTTGTGCAGGCACCTACTCTGGGCTCATTCAAGAAATTCTTGGATGCTTATCTTGCTGGGATCTTATGTCCCTAGCTGACTTCCTGCCCCTGGGGCAGGGGGCTGGACTTGATGATCTTCGAGGTCCCTTCCAGCCCTAACGTCTATGAAATCTATGAAATATAAATGCAACTTAAAAAAAAGAAGCTGATGTAAATTGACCTGTGCATTATATGTGAGGAAATATGTTTAGAGCAATTGTTGCTGCTTAAAATTTGGCTGGGTGAAAGCAAAAGTCTGCACACAATCCACAAAGCAGAACAAGATGCAGCTTGGCTCCCTAGCTGCCACTACCCAGTTACTTACTACATAAATCGTTTTTCTGTCACAAACAAGGACAGTGTCTTTAATACAAGGACATAGGATGTATTAAAACACTAGCTATACAAATAGTACATGTGCGCGTGCATGTATATACAAACTAATATACATATACATATAAATACACATACATCTATACATACACATTTATTATTAGTATGTTTTGCTATAACATTTTGATCATTTCACAGTAGCATGACACTTATTTTTAAACAACAAAATTT